GAGCGATGATATCGAATTTGGCATTTGTGTTTCGGAATATCTTTTCGAAGAAAGGAATGAAAGGGAATTCAGTGAGCGGAATGAATTACTACGCTTGCTTATCGATGATGTCTCTTTTGTTCCTCACTCCATTCGCTATCGCTGTTGAAGGTCCTAAAATGTGGGCGGCTGGTTGGGAAAACGCTGTTTCTCAAATCGGACCAAACTTTGTGTGGTACGGAACTTAAACCAAATCACTAGTCTTTTTGAATTCTATTTTTTTGCATAAAGTTTGATGTTTTGTGTTTGGTTTTGAATATCAACAGGTGGGTAGTGGCACAAAGTGTGTTCTACCATTTGTATAATCAGGTCTCATACATGTCATTAGACCAGATTTCGCCATTGACTTTCAGTATCGGTAATACGATGAAGCGAATTTCCGTCATTGTGGCTTCGATTATCATCTTTCATACCCCGATTCGACCTGTTAATGCACTCGGTGCCGCTATTGCCATTCTTGGAACTTTCCTTTACTCACAGGTAAACAAACAAACTTTGTTCTTTTTTAGTTGCCAATTCTATTTGCTAAGATTAAGAGAAAGATTTGGTTTTTGAACGTTGCATTACTGATGTTTCTCTATTCCTTGCAATCCTTGAGTAGGCTAAGCAGTGAGGATGGTTTGCGAGGCTATTTTGGGGTAGATTTTGTTTAAAACAATTAGCTAACAAAAGAGTTAGCCGGAAAGGAGAGAATATATCGGTAAGATCAAAATCGGAAACTGCTTTTCCCGGTCACTGAATATGAAGAAATGGAGCTTTAAGTTGATCATCACACTAGAGAGTTTGCTTTTTTATTTATTTTTTTGAAAAATTAATATTATGTGTATCATATTAAAGTTTTGCACGGGACCGATTAAATATTTTATATCATAGTATAGATTTCTTCGTTTGTTATTTTGGTGTTTTTGGGTGATGGTAACAAAATAAATCAGATTAATTTCTGAACCAGACCATCTACTGAATTATTCTGCTACACATTCGTAATACACAGGAAAATCACAGATGATGATACACATTAACATACTGACTATATTCCATATTCCATAACCAAGGACATTACACTGTTTATCCATCTCAACAATTGAAGTTTAACCAACTTTTAATCTTGCGAGTACATTATTCAATTTTAAAAGGATCTCTGTTGTCAGCATTCTTCTTGTCAAGAAACAAACCAAGATCCAAATGAAAACAAAGATGATATGAAAAAAGAACGTAATTTCTCACATGTAAAGATGAAAACAGCATCACAAAAAACAGAAAATTGTCATCCAGTAAGATAGATAGAGACAGTAGCAAGATCCCATGTTCCCATGATGATGAATTGAAGCGAACCTTGAGCCGAGCTAGCTCTGTTACAAAAATCTCAAGCTCTAAAGTCCTAGTTAGAGCCCTTGCATAAGCTTTATATGGTCAAGAAAAGTGTAAAAATTTAATTCCCTTAGACTCACTCTTCCATTCCTTTCATTCTGGGGCGGTCCAATAATGCTCAGCAAATTTAGAGGCCCTCTGCAAATCTCAACAAAATTTGGTCCTTTATTCATAATTTTCAAAAATATTTGGCTTAAAAAAATTCCAAAATTTTAGGGCCCTCGCATTTGTTCCTCTTGCTCTTGTCTAGAGCCGCCCCTGCTTCCTTTTCAACTCTTACGATATTGTAGTAGAATATGTAGATAGGCAAGGTTCTATAGTGTATGGACAACACAATTTCCTTTGTACGAGTCACTCCAACTAACCATAATTTGGTTTTTCCAACAATATTCTTCCACAAAGCAGGGTATACATGCTTCGACCATTCCACAACTCAAAACTTCTACTACTTTCATCAACGCATACAAGTCTTCAGAAAAAGGTAAACCTAATTTACCATTCTAGTTTGCCAGGGTTCCATAGCTCATTATTCTAATAGAAGTTTTCATGACTTCAATGAAACTGAATTTTCTCGGAACTAACATAAAAACAAACTGTTATCTAGGCCTGGCCTTGAAAGCATCCAAGAAAAATATTGGGGTGGGGTCCCTAATTTTATAGGGCCCACTATTTATAAAATATATGAGTGTTATGAAAGTCAAGAAAAATGATGCTAACTAAAAACAGACAAGTGAAATGAGGTAAAATTAACTTCTTGTAGAGCCCATTGTCATTATGCGCACACACTAACTTTCGCTTTTTACCTCGATATAAAGAGACGCATTCATCCGTTTGTAAGATCATCAGAACATTAGTATTCTCATAAGATCATATATGAGAGTGTCTTTCTATCTCTTACATTTTTCTGTATATATTGTTCTTACCGGGTATAAAATTTTCATCTTTATTTAGATTTATCGACATGATAAATTCTCATTCTTTTTATAACAACTAGTAAATTTTTGTATAAAATATGTAATTATAGAGGTAATTAATTAAGAGGTAGCTAAAAATAATCATAAAAATATATTTGATTTTATAAATATAGAAAAGTTGACAGAAATATGTATAATTTCAGAAAATGTGAAAAATTTGTATCAATTAGTTATTTTTTTTAAACAAATATATTAAAAATTGAATAAATTAATCCTT